TGTGTGTGTGTGTGTGTGTGTGTGTGAGAGAGAGAGAGAGAGAGAGAGCGACGATGGTGGTTACCACTGCCAAATAGTTGGCAAATGAGACATTTTGTTTCTTTTTGTTGTTTAAGATAGTACTAGTTTCCAGATGTGTTGCATGTTATGTAACTTTGGAACTTTGCACATTCTGACCAAATTCCTTTTTTCCTTTTCCAACAGATAAACATATCTGAAGCCGTTGTATGCATAGTAGCCTCCCAAATCGCCAATCTTGGCGAGAGTGTGATAGGTGCTGTACTCCAAGACAAGGAAGGTTTCCAATGGGTCAGTGGCATTTTCATCATCTCTTGATTTTCATGCATTTCTATATTCCTTCTCATTTGATTCAAATTAGATCACAGCGTGTTTCAGAGGTTGGGTGGGAAATGACATAGTAAGAAAACTCAATCAAACTTATCATTGGACTGATGGAGCAGGTTGGTGGATTCATGTAGTAATCTGCAGATTTGTTTTACCTGGCTTATGGCATAGGCCCACCCGAGCTCTTAGAAAAATTGACAGTTCCCGGGAGATATCAAGCCAGACTAGTTATTGTTTAACTGTCTCTCGTGCTGTGTTTATGTGTTGGTTAATTTTTCCTGCCAGGGCTGGATCCTCATAACCAATTTAGCTTGCTAGTTTGTTTGGATTTTTGCAGCTCAACATAGTGCCATGAATGTTGTCTCTAACTCTGTCCCTTGTTTTGCAGCTCAACAATGATGTTGTCAATGTCATCAACATATCCATGGGCAGCATTTTGGCAATCTTAATGCAGCGAATGGTACTTCAAAACAGATATACATAATTCAAAGATCAGGGAGCTATTCACAGGAGCACGGGCATGGATCCCACTTGTCGTTGCAGCACAACCTTCATATGTCTACGTGAGGCAATTATGAAACCAAAGAGGGTCTGAAATTTCTTTAATGGGGAAGTACAGAGTTTCCTTCCCCCCACCCAAAACTATAGCACAATCAAATGCTACAATTTCTCTCTTTCTAAGAGCCCCCATCTTTCCTTGCATGGTGGACATTGAAAATTCAATCATTGTCATTGCAGGTTCTAAGACATAACTTTTTTGGCTACTGTATATCTGAATATTAGTGGAGAAATTTATCAGCTTACTCGGTGCATTTTGGGAAATAAATGATTTGCGTTTATCGGTTTCCTCAGGTTTTTCAGAGCTCATGAATTATTTAGGTTAAATGTAGCATCAACATTAACATCCTTTAGATTTCTACTTGAGAAGGAAAGAGAAAGCTAACAAAATTGAATCACCAAGCATGGCTTGTGAATCAACAAAACTGCATAAGCTTACACTATATCGGTTGGTGCTCACTGCAAACCGGTGTCTTGTCTCTGTGTCAACGAGGATGGATCACTCTTGCTTTCAGGCAGTGATGATGGAACCATTGTAGTTTTTCCGATCTACAAATTCATAGATGCCTCGTCTCATGGGAGTTCAAATGACTCCATGTTGCATTGATTCGTTGGGCATGATTCTTCTGTAACTGCTATCACCACCGGTATTGGAGGCTGCAACTGCAGGATTATTTCGTGCTTGTTAGATTGCACATGTAAGTTCTGGAGCCTTCTCCAGGGGTCACACCTGCGTACTGTGACATTCCCGTGTCCTATTTGGGGCGTGGCAGTGGATCCCTTTGGAGTCATTCTACTATGTAGGAGCGTCAGATGGCTGTGTTTACGATGGAGCACTAAAAGTTGCAAGCAGACATCTGGTAAAACAAGTGCATGAACTGATGACATGGGGTCAGAAACATGGTGGATCAGTCATAGGCGTGGTGATGGTAAATGGGGGAGAAAATTTGATCACTGCTTCAGAAGATGGGAGTGTACGGATTTGGCGATGTGGACGGGAATGAAATTCGAATGAATAGAGGCAATGCTGAGTTTGGTGGAGGATGGGATTTGGGTCTCTCCTCTGAGGAGCTGAGAAGGCCAATGAGGGAGATAATCGAAATGGAAAAGCTGTTAAATTCTGTGGAAGAGGATAGGAGCAGAGGCATTGGTACCCTGGAATCAGCAATTGGAAGTCATGAAAAAACTGTTGGAACTCATCCTCAAGGAAATCGAGGCAGCAACTGACAGTGCCACTAGTGATGTAGAAAAAGATGATGTATGAACATCTTTGTGTAACATCTCATATATAAAAACATAAACCGCAGAGCAAGAAAATGAAAGATACTCTCTATTCTGCCTCCAGATGACAAAATAGCTCTAAAGGTAACAAAGACGAGTTAGAGACGTCTTGAGTTGGATTTTTTGTATTACCTTAGGGTCAAGTTATGAGAGATTTATCTCTCATGAGTACCCTAGTCTCATGAATAGTCTGTCTTTGACCGAACCATAAAAAAAAATTAATTAAGGTACGCGTAAGTTAGTTCGAACACTCTTTGAATTTAAAAAAAAAAAAAAAAGGATGACTCAACGTGCACTAATTCTTTTATCAAGAAATCTGTATATTTGCATTCCATGCGAATGAAGAAGACCAAAAACCTAGTAAATGATACTATGAACCCCAATCATTCCCGATACTATGAACCCAACTGAGTGACATATCTCACAATACAAAAATTAAATCAACCTCACGTCTTCTTCCCCTACTGCACTGCAACATCAACTATCCCAACCTCCAATAACTTTCAATGTCAAAAGACGCATTCATACACATAAACATGAACAATCCGTTTATATCCCAAACCACAGATTTCAATAGAATAAATAAAAGAACAGGGGTACCTTGCGGAGAAGTTTGGAAGCCGAGATACTCTCTTTCCCCCATAAAAGTTACATTTCTTAGGTATGACGTGACCTTCTAAAATATGATGTCCTGAAAACAATGTGACCTTCTATATCTATAAAAGGTCATTCTGTAAGGTCGTACTGTTTGGAATAATCTCTTATTCTCTTAGTCAGCTTGTGAATAAAGAAGCTTGCCCTGAATGGCTGGCCTGAGTTGGAAATACTGACTTTCCTCGTGTGATGATATGGATGACATTGATACAATTGTCCGAGATCGTACATGAATGACTAATTATTGAGTCTTGTTACATGTGAAACATGGAGATATTCTTTTACTTATTTTTAATATTATTCTTGGTATCATAAAAAAGAATCAGGATTTTACTTAAACTAAGGTTATTAGGCTACCCACTACAAAAAATCAATAGGATTAAAACTTTAAATAGACAAATATGCTTCGACTAAAAAATTAAAATATAAATAGTGGGATAAATTGTCTTAGTAAACAATTTAGACCGTTATTATAATTTATGCAAGTGAAACATAATAATTTATGAAAGTGAAACATTAAATTTTATATTCACTGGTTGGTTTATTGAGTTTTCATGTGGTGACTTCATGACCGAGTTTTTTCTTGATTTGTGGGAGCAAAATCAAAAAGCATCATAATCAATTATTATTGGTATAATATAAATATGGAGAGCACATAATTTTACTATATTATAAAATAATCAAATTATGTGAGAGGTGACTTGAGAAGTCTTCTTTCTCGCTTTCTTTTTTTTTAAAATTTTTAATTATTCAATTACTAAACACCCAATCACTCATTGCCACGTGGTTACTACCTGCTAATCAACTTACAAACTGCTCAATTATCCCACGTTTCCCACTTTATCTGATAAGCATTTTTTCCATTTCAAATTTTGAAACAACCAACTCATATTTATCTCATACAATAGTAATTCACTAACTAAGTCTCTTTCTTTCTGCCTACGCCCATCTCTTTCTCTCTCTCTCTCTCTATGATTTTCCTGTACTTCAACAACATATGTTCATGCATTAATTATACTTTCATTCCATTTTCTTTTTGAATTCTTAATCTCATGTGGGTTCCATTGTTTTTTTTGTTTTTTTTTTTGTTTTTCCATAGTGCACTGATTGGTGGTCCCAACTTTCAAGCACAAGCTTCATTGTGTCTACAAAAGGTTTGAGTTTCATCTCGCTCCAATATTTGGCCTTGAAACGGTATTTGGGTTTTATTTTTCCAACCCATAATTCTTAAAGGAAATGTTGATGATGGCAGTCCACAAAACAACACAGCCCACTTCACCATTCATATACGAAATGTGAATGGTCATGTTCTCATTTTCACCAATAAGCCTCACACTGTCACTGTCAGACTTATTTCAATTTTCCATGTCCAAATGTTATTTTGCAGCATTTAAGTTTTATGTATCTAAGTTTTCATTTTACTTTAACTATGAGAATAGATAAAGACATTTCAATTTTACACTTCGTCGTGCATCGCACGAGGTCCATATAAGTAACTTATGAAGAGGCAAAAAAAACCTCTTCGGAGTAAATCTAGATGTCTCACCATTTTGTTCAGCTCAATGTCAAAACATAGTATAGTATTTACATATGTGATTGACATTATTGAGGGTGGAGAGCATTCGAAAAGACTTGAAACTGTTGTTAACTAGATTCTCTAAATTTGAGCCTCTTACATAACATATCCTCTCACAAGGACTAAAGGCTTATCCGGATGGTTAAAACCTGAAGTGGCAGGTTGAAGGTTTGATTCTCCTCCTTGGTTGTCTTTACTGAAATTAAAGCCTACTGTCTGTCCCATTTTAACAGTATACTTACGGGTGATAAGCAAAATGAAGCAGCTCTTTACTGACTGATAACACTTCTAAGTAGCAATGTGCAATTCGAACCCTTAAGACACCTAATATAAGTACAAGATTTACGAGGTTATGCATTAGAATTGCCTCCGTCGTTTTGAACTGGTACCATTCGGATAAGAACGATGAAGGCTCTGCATGGGGGAGGGTGAGCAGCATATATCCGGCACGCAAGCAGCAGTGTCTGATGGATACTGATAATTTTTCGGCCAATAAAGCCCGGATGCTGTAGGTGGGGAAGGAATCTGTGGCACTGCCCAGAACGCCTCTGGCACCTGCCCAAAGCACTCATCACTGTCCAGTTCCTCCTCCACGGCTCTTAGAATAGAGGAGCAGTCAGAGTCTCCAAGTTTGCCACTATCAGCCTGATAGAATTTTTCACAAATAACATACATAATCAGGGATTGCATGGCTATTCCTACACCTGAAGGAAAATAACCACACCCTAGGCACATTAACAATCAAAACATTTTAAATCTAAACATTCTGAGTAACACTTGGATATCCCAATATCTAGCCAACGTGGAGCTAACAAAAAAAAATTAGAAAACCACACCTAACAAGTTGAATAGATATAAACGAATTTACATGTAGAGTGTCACAAATGTAGCAATTTAAGTACAATGCAAAAATTAAATCCAGGCTAACTGTATTTTATGAGGAGGATAAAAATCCATGCGAAGATATTGCTTTCCAATTTACCAATTTTCAGTACGTGGAGAGAGATTTGCAACAAGAGTGCATTTGGAAAAAAAAAAAAAAAAAGCAACTTTGGAAGTCACTTGTCAATTTTTTAACATCCCATGCAATTCAAATAAATATTTTCATTTGAACAAGAACTAAAAAGAATCACTTGTTTAAAGACCGAATGGACAAGAGCAATAGAATTGTTACTCATAGTAGCAGCCGTTGCTTGTTTGAGCAAACTTGCTTAATCTTGTTCCACAGTCCTACAATCTAGAAAGGATAGGAAGGACCCTGCTTCGAGAATTCAGATACCTCATCCTACCCCCCTGTGGATACATTTTCCTTTTTAGTTAGTTCTTTCATTTATTTTATTTGCATCCTTACTATATGAGGTAGAAAGATAAGAGTCAGAAGTCTCACTCTGTTCCTTATTATCTTACCTCCATCCTTTTCCTTCTTTAAGAGAGATGCCCGACTTTCCTAAAGTACGGAGTGACTTTCTTAGAGACGTTAAGAAGTCTTTAATACGAGAGTGATATGGCTTATACTCCCTCTTTTAGACCACAAGAGCAGCAACATATCTTTCTTTATATGCTTTGCCGCTTCTGTTGTGTAGAATTTATTGGATATAGAGAGGAGTGTGAAAGTAAGCCTAGGAAGAATTCTAACTCCTCTTAGAGCTCTAAGATAGATAGATAGATAGGTAAATGCCTGCCTCTCCTAAAGTAAGGTTTTTTTTACTTAAGAATGTCTTCTAAAAATAGGCTTTTCAGAAGTCTCCGAGCATTCCTTGCAAGATGAACAACAGCAACGTGAATGAAGACTTCTGCTAATTTTAAGCTGATTATTCAGCTAATCTATAATGCCTTGTATTTCAACAGAAGAAAGAAGCTAGTTAAATGTAGCTTAAGTCAAGCCAAATGCAAGGGCATCGGATAAGGGCTCAGTCTTGGCAATTGCTTCAGCAAATATGTTTAAGGAAGGGCAGAAAGCTTGTCAAACATATCTTAGTCAAGCCAAATGCTAATCAACTGCTGCCTTAGGCAAGGTCATCAATTCGGTCAAGTATTGCCACCACTGCTGCTTGTGTGGGAGATATCAATTTAAAAGTTTGCACTTTCAGCAGGAACATTTGAGAGCCCACCAGTTCTAATTGGAGTCCCACAGTTTAGAGTATCACGGATGGAAGTGCACTTTTACAAGCTCTCATTATCTACTTAAACTTTAGCCCTAGCATTTGCTCTCCCACCAAGCAACTTTAAACACTCAAACCCGGCATTAGGTGAATCCAGCTAGAGTCATGTGAAGTCAAAATTCCATCTCCAACAGAACATGTAAAACTCAAAAATAGCTAAAATTTAGCTATCCAAAGATAAATATGCAGCTCCAACAAAAAATGTTCAGAGTAGGTAAAATACAATTTTGCTACAGTTTGTAACATCATATATAAATAGTTTATAATATATTATTTCTCTACTTTTCTTTAAACTTTATAATACTTTAAATATTCAAAATTTTATAATATTTTCATATTTTTAATATTCAATATTTTTATAATATTCTCTCTCTACTCCTCTTTAAGATTTTCATATTTTTAATAAAAAAAATGAGAAATAAAAAAAAGATGCTCTTTAATTAAATGTTTCAAATATTTTAATTTTTTATAATATCTTAACAATATTTTACAATATTATGGATAATTCGATATTTTACAATATTTTTGGTAGCCATAAAAAAAATGTAGTTAAAAAATATAGTCAGAGAAATTTGGTTGTTGAAAATGATAATTGAAATATAGTTTTTGAAAAGAAAATAAATAAAAAGAATGAAAAATAATATTTAAAGGAAGTAGTTAAAAGTAGAGACAATTTATTGGAGTGTATATTGAAAAAGTAAGTAGCTAAAATAGAAAAAGTGAACTTTTGGATAGCAAAAATCCAAAACTTTGTTAGAGATGTTCCTTCCTGCAACCCCAATAGTTTTAGCACTGATGATTTTAAACAGTGCCAAGAAACATCCCTGCTACACCAACTACAGGATCAGAGAGGATTTTTCACCTTGATGGGTGATGATTGATCCCCAGGCACCAATTACATGGGTGAATGGCAGAGGCCAGTACATGTAAAATATTCGACCAAGGATGAGATAGAAAGTCAAAGAATGTGAGACAGTGACAGACATACATGTACACATGCTCATAGGGATATTTATCTACCTGTCATTCATCAATAACAACTTTTTTTGTATTCACAAAACAATTAATGTGACAAGATCAAAGTCCCTCAGAAGCTCAAGCAGATCCTCCATAGCATTCCTGAATTATATGAACATAAATTATAAAAAACTGATATATATTGCTTACTAAAAGGCATACCTTGGAGGAGCCAGCATCCATATACCCAAAATTCTGATTGAAGTCGGTAAGCCCAAAATTTTCATCCAACTGCCACAGTGGAATACTTCCAGCACCAGAACCTCCAGCAAATGGCAACTTAGTTGGGATGAAATCCCCAACTCCACCAACTTGGACAGGCAATACTTTATTATATGGTACAGCCGATGACATTGAACTAACCCTTCCAGACACAGTGCGAGCTTCTGGTTCTAACATTTTCTCACCAGAATGTGACTTCCCTGGGGAAGTGGATGCACCAGGTTCTGTAGGTTCCAGCCCCACCTTTACACCAGTGAGCAGAAACCTCTGGTGGGCTGAAACATAGGAATTAGCACCATGTATTGTAATATCACATTTCCTGCAGAATAAAGCTCGATCCTCTAGGCAAAAGAAATAGCCAACTGCTTCCTGTATGATACGGCAATATCTTATCCACATAAGATTACAGATTCCCAAATATTTGTGGTTCCATTTTTTGCTCCAAAAAGACGGTTGTTGCACAGGGGACTAAAATTTGAATAAGCAATGAAGAAAAAGCCATAAAATTCCTTCTTATTCAATCTCGATATCAGAGAAAATCAGTCAATGTCCCGCAACAAAAAACCACTGACGGGTAACATTGTCAGTCTTAGCCTCTGAAATAGTCAAGAAGCAATCCGGTTAATGATGAGAAATTCAATAAAACAAGCGCATTTGTTTGCTTAGATTGCACTATACAAAATTATACTCGGGGAACATTTGGAACCACAGTAATATTGCTGTTCCCAAGAGTAAGAGGAATAATTTACTATGGTTAATTTGATACCCATTAAATGTGTTGTGAAAATACTTCTCACAGTGCTCTTCTCTTGCTTTCCAGTAGAATTTCTTCATAGTGCAACCCAGCACACCCATTACATAGCTAACTTCCAAAATGATCCTTCTGACTTGTACAAAGTTGGAGTCAACATCACTTGGCAAGAAAATTCATCTAGTTATGAAATTTTGAAGATTTCTCACCAATACCGACAATTATCCAAACTCAAAAAACAATGCCTACGCTTAAAACACCTGACTTAAAAAAACGAAATAACACGGCTTATTTTATTATTTATTTTTTAACTTTTTAGCCACAATAATAAAGTAACTATTTTTATTTATATTTCACCTTTTAATTACAATAAATATTTTAACCAAAAACTTATATTTTAACTACGAAAATTATTCTAACCCCTCACTTACGCTTTAATGATTTAATCACACTAAAAAAACGTATTTTTAACCTTTTACTACAACCAATCAAGAACAAACACACAACCAAAGCCACATAAAAATACAGGGCCAGCCCAACTGTAAAAGTAAAAAATCCTGGGCTTTAGACCACATAATTTTACGTAAATAGTTGGCCTACTTTAGAATTTTAAGTCCATGAAAATTATAAGCCCTACAAAAAAGCCTTAGTCAAAATTTAAGGCCAATCAAAAATTTTAATTTTAATAATTTTTTGAGCTCATAATTCAACCAATAACAATAAAAACTAAAAAATCAAAATTTTATTAAAAACAACTGATAGTATACTCAAAAGTCAAGTCATAATTCACTTACCCATTCTTTATGTGTGTGTGCGCGCAACACTAGAAAGCCCCTCCCTCTCATTTTCATTCTCACTCACTCTCTGCCTAATATGGACATCTAATAAAGAATTTTTTGTAGTTTTTTATTTAACTTAAAAAATAAAATTATTAAATGCTGATAGTTTAAAAAAATTTCTCTTAACCCCGAATTTTCTTAAAATATAAAATTTTTTCTGACATTGATAGTTTAGATTTATTTTAAAAATAAACTATTTTAAAGAAGATTTTATAAATGAAAGAAAATACTCGAGACACTAAATTATATACAAAGAGTAGATTTTTTTTTCAAATGTATGCATTGCTTACAGAATATTATTATTAATTTTTGCAACAATTACTTCTACAAAAAAAAACCTTTTTAAAATTAAAATTAATAAAATCTTACTTAAAATCGACTATCACAAGAAAAAATAATTGTATAAGCGATAATATCAATAACAAAAATATGATAACAAAATTTAAATATATTACAACTCAAAAAAATGAGAAGAATTAATTTTAATCAAAATTTTTAACACTAAAAATAAATAAATTACCGCTTTAGGCCTCACGTAAAAAAATGGTAGGAATAATAAAATATTTACATTAGAAAATATTAAACAATTCCATTAGTCAAGCAAAGCCACATAAAATATATGAGAATATACCCCTGTTTTCCATTGGATATTTATCTAATGTTTACCATGTTGGATATCTATCTAATGTTTACCATGTTGGATATCTATCTAATATTATAGCTAAGAAGTTAAATCCTTAACTTATAAAACTTATAAAAGAATTGAGATTCATCTAATTCTCATCTATTTTGATCCAATTGTACAAAATTCATACAAAAATTTATTTCCATCGGCCCCCAATATCAAACAACACAACCATCACACTCTCTAATACCAACTAATCCACAATTATCTGTCTCCTATCTTTCTTATTTTTCTATGTTCACTTTAATTGTAAATTAAAGTAATTAAATTTAAAAAATAAAAATATAATACTATTTAAAAATTAAATATTACGGCATCTCCAACCCTTACTTAAATTTAGACTCAAATTTAAATATAAGTAAATAAGTCTAAAAAATTTGCTCAAATCCTTGACTCAAACTTATACCAAATCAAGGAAAACTCATATTTTTACTCAAATTACGGGAAAAATCAAATTCTTACTCAAATCTTTAACGGTGAGATTTCATTATCTTTTAAAGATCCAATGGTCATTATTACTCCCTTTTAAATTTGAGTTTGCCTACATTTAAATTTGAATTTCCTTCTTTAAATTTGAGTCTGTTCATCGAAGGCCTTTGTATCAAATCAAACTTTTTTCCCAAATGTTAATTTAAATTTGAATAAAAATTTAAGTCATAGTTGGAGATGTTCATACCATTGGTATTTCAGAGACACAGATTATTGCTAGTAATAATATATGCATCATCGCATTAAATAATGTATCCATTTGAAAAATCATATCACAAATATCTGAGCAGCAGACGCACACATCTGCACAAACATATATATTCGTAGAGAGAGAGAGAGAGAGATATTCAGCTATAACAATCAAATGATTCCATTCATGCTAAACTTGTGGAATTAACATCGTCAACTGAAAATTAAGCTAAATACCTGACAAATATCACACTTCGGCATCTGCGACGAAGAGCTAGAAAGAGAAACCCTCTGGTGCTTGCTCGCGAGCATATTGGCAGCATGAACCTTCTCATCGCAAGCCCAACACAGAGCCGCCTCGTCCGCACAGCACAATACGTTCGCCTCCGCGACCTCACACACGTTGCACTGTATCTTCATCTCTCTCCCAAAAATACCTTCACTTTCCACCTGAAATTCGGATTTGAAACCCTAGATTGAGGTTGAGGTTGAGGTTGAAGAATGAGGATTGAGACGTCTGGGGTTTAAGTCTGATAATAAATGAACCGAAAGGAGGGAAGCAAGTGGAACCACTAAGAGGGTGATTATGGAATTTTAATTGTGGAGATAAGTGATATTTTCTGAAAGGTAAGGGGGTTGGACACGTGTTAGTTATTGGACAACTTTCAAATAAGCAGCAGGGCGGCTTAACACTGTTATTAAAAAAACTTAAACTTTCGGCCAATTTTTAACGAAGACTCCATATTTTTAAATATCATAAATAATATATGTAAAAAAAATTAAATTTATAAATATTTTAAGCTCTACAAAATTTTTTTATAAAAATACAAGTTCAATCAAAAAAATATTTAAGGCATCACTTTAAGGAAGGCCTATAATTTATAGGTAACAGTAATAGTCTAAACAAAAAATTTAAATCCATGTCTAAACAAAATATTCCAATTTAATAGATTAGACCTATTAATTCAATCGTAAAATTAAAAGGTCATAAAATTTATTTTTTTAAATAAAAAAAACTAATTATAAAACTAAAGTTATTAAAAAATTTAGCTTTAACCACCAAAAAAGTTAAGTTTAAACTTATCATCATAATTTTTAATCATTATTTTTCTCTCTTACCATTAAGTTCAAATATAGTAACAAAAACTTGAATATAAAATTTTAATTAATATTTTTTTATTTAAAAAAATTAAAAATTAAATTTATTATTAATATTAAAAATAAAAAAACCTCATTTATCGTTTTTGTTTTAGACCTCAAAAAGTCTCGGGCCACCCCTATAAATAAGGCGGGGAGGAACATGTTTCGCTAGCAATTGTAATAAATCTGTATAATAAATCAACTAACAAGTTTAATCTTTATTTCCTATACATTTTTGTTCAAAAAATATTATATCACCTAATTTTATCACATGTTCAATTATTTAATATTTAGTTAATTTGTAGTTTAACACAACTTGTATTTCGTATATTATTCATACATGATAGTGTACACATGTTAAAAAAAATTATCCAGTTATGCATTTTGAAAAAACTTTGATGCTATTTTTAAGAAAATAATAGGTAAGAATTAATTTTAAATGATGTAAGTAAAGAAATTAATTTTAAATTTGGTATAATAGAATCAATTTTTTGAACGCTAAAATTTTATATTTCATCGTGCCTTTAAGACACGAGTAATGACTAATATATCTATAATATAAAATAAGAAAAATTTCAATAAACTTATCTGACAATTTAAATAAACTCATTCAACGGTCACCAACATCTCTCTCAAAATTATTCACAGTAATTTACATTGTACCATGTCTTTAAGCACAAGTTACCCCTAGTACAATAATATCACACCCCACTTTCTCCATATGCTGGTCATTTACACGTGTTTAGAGGGGCAATTCTTAACTCATTACCTATTAATTCGTTCAACTCATCTATAAATAAATGAATCGAGTATTATATTAATTAATTTCTATTTTTGTTGGTCCAACTCATGTCTATTTTAAATTGTAGTTGTATACCCTATCCGTCAGTATGTGATGCATTAAGTGTAACAAGAGTAGCTCTCCTTTTGGAGAAAATATTCAGTGCTTATCAAATATCAAGCTGTCAATGACAACTGGTACTCATCACCAATCAATGGATGACACCTCATATTCTGTCATTGGCAGGTGTCAGGCTGTCATTGACAGCTGATACTCATCACCAATCAAGAGATGTCACCTAAATGTAGGTTGTCCTTCAATTTTTCTCTCTTCACTGCCTACCTTGAGGTGGCATCTGTTAATTGGTGATGAGTACCAGCTGTCATTGACAGCCTGGTACCTGATAAACACTGAATATTTTCTCCTCCTTTTGACTTAAACAACCGAACCATCTAACTGTCCGTCTGAGCTCCCTAGATCAATTAGTCATTCACATTCATTAGTGAAGGAAGAACGTTTTGGGCACCAGACAAATTGGTCAGTTGCTCTTCTTAGTGTTATGGGTTTCAAATAGGTTGAATAATAAGATTTATTTTAATTAAATGGGTTAAAATGTATTATAAATAGGTACCTATTAGGTTGAGTATTTCTCTTTCTATTAAATAACCCAAATAATAAAATTAAATAAATATATTAATATATCAAAAAACACACGTACACTAATATACTAAAAAATACACACACAGATGCTAGTATACCAAAAGCACATACACACTAGTATACCAAAAGCACACGCACACTAATACACCCAACCCGACCCTGACCTTCTATATATGTATTGACAAGACTCTAGGAGGCTCAGCGGCCCCCCAAATCGACACGTGGAAGGATGTAGCTGCTATGGAAATCAAAAGGCGCTGAGGAATGATGGCTCAGAAGAGCCGAGTAGACAAATTGACACCAGCATTTAAGACAACTTGACAGCTCATTTATGAAGATGTGATTGAGATTGGGCTATTAATGACCCCCTGTATCTTCGAGACCCAAATCGCCTGTCATAATTGTGAAGCATTAATGACTATTGCCCTGATATCACCTCGGCACACCCCCGAGGTACTGTTCTCCAAGCATTGAACGCTCAGGAGTAGGTGTCAAGCGCTGATCAAAAGACTTAAATGACCAGGGATAGGGCCATAAGTGCTCGGCATGTCCCGAGCAGTCACCCTATCGCCTAAGCAAACTAGGAATGAAAACCTGAATGGAGAAAACTCATTGCTCATGGGTAAGAATGCAAGTCATTAAATGTTGAGATGAGACCTCAAGCCTTGGCACTCATTATTAATCCAGGTATAAATACTCCTCAGAAAAGTGAACAAACATATGCAAAGACTAAACTGAGATAAAAGAAACTGTATTTTAGCCTCCAAACTTATACTAACTTAAGCTTCGGAGGGGATAAGTCAGGTATTCACCCGACCCCTTTTCTGACTTTGTGGTTGTTTCAGGTTCATTATCGTGACAATTGCTATCTCAATCTATTATAGAAAATCTCCCCGTGTAATTTGGCCCGTCTATGGGAAGAGCTGAACTTTTTCCTGTAGCAATTGCATCATGGTGAAGACACGATCCCAAGGTGATACGGAAGGGATTTTACACGTGAGAAGCGCGAAAGCTACCCTGTTCCCAGTAGTCATGGAGTCAAACCCCTTAAGCCAGTCAAATGGAGGCGAACATGCCTCGCAGCGAACGTTCCCCATTAATCAAGGCCTTGGGGGGCAAGGCCTCTTCGCTCGTGAGATTGTTGATTTGGTGGAAAAAAACAAATAGGGAAACACATTAAGCAACTTGAGAAAGATAACCCCCAGGTACAACATCGGCTTGATGATTTCGAGCAGTCGGGGAGTGCTAGTTGGCGACGCAGTAAGCGCAAAGACCAGAGTTTCAGCCGAGGTAATTCCAAGGGCGTGAAGCTAGATGCCCTTGAGAAGAGCTTGTGTAGGCGCATGGCCGAGAAGCGCGGCCCACAAAGTTGGGGAAAACTTCCCCTTAAAGAGGGATCGGAGTGGGATCACCACAGGGCGGGCCTGTCCTGGTGGGATCTCTGCCATGAACTGTCTGGGGGTGCCCTGGCTGTCGAATCCCATACAGAGTCCCCGTGAAGGGGCCCAGAGAAGAGGAAACCTAAAGGGACCTCTAAGCGCATCTAGATGCCAAGCACCGGAGACCCAGACCCAAGGAAGATGAAGACGAAGAACAGATCATTTCCCCATTCGTACGGGCGATTCGGGAGACCAGAATGCCATTCCTCGATCCAAGGTATATGATGGGAGAACAGATCCCGAGAACCACCTGCGGCAGTACAAGAAGTTGATGTCCATTTACGACACTAACCAAAGACTTCTATGTCGAGTTTTTTCCATAAGTTTGGGGGACACTGCGATGAGATGGTACAAGAACTTGGCCCCAGAGAGCATCAGGTCTTGGAAGTAAATGACTGAGCTCTTCACTACTCGATTTATTACTAGCAGTAAAAGGCCAAGAGACATTGGCACGTTGCTAATGCTTAAACGAAAGGGGTGGAGAGTCTCTTCGGCAGTACGCAATTAGGTATTGGGAAGAAGTGAATGAGGTCGAAGCCTACTTAGAGGCAATCGTCATAGTGACATTTCGACTGGGATTATCTTGAGACACCGACCTCTACAGATCCCTTACTAAGAGAGCCCCAGGGGATATGAAGGACTTGATAGTTTGAATCAACAAATATGTCCAGGTAGAGAAAGAATCCATCACGCCCACGAGTAGGGCCCTAGTACCGAGGAAGAGAGAGAAGGAACCACCTGCAAGGAAAAAGACACTTGTCCCGCCTCCAAATAGCTTGTCCTTTCAATGGGTGAATACGATCTTCAAGGAACCCATCTACAAGATGTAGAATAAGATAAAAGGGAAGCCTTTCTTTAAATGGCCTCCCAAGATGCAAGGAGACCCGTCCATGAGAGACTCCACGTGTCAGTGCTCTTATCATAGGAACGTAGGGCATTTGACTGAAGACTGCAAGGTTTATAAATCTTTCCTCGAGCAATTGGTTTGAGACGGGTACCTTGGGGAGTTCATTGATAGGAGAACTCTCGGAGGCCCGACAAGGGAAGTTGGCGTACCCATTGATGCGGCAACTGTGATCAAAATCATACACGCTTGAACTATCGAGAGGCCAATGTATAACACCCTCTGAGCCGATCTCCAAAAGGTCTCTTAAGCAATGAAGGTAGAGGAAAACACGTGTGAGGAGCAGTCTTCCAAGAGGCCTCGGCAAGACGCCAAGGTCATCCACTTTTTTGATGTTGACCTGGGATGGTTAGTACTCCCACATGAAGACGCGTTGGTGATCACTCTGCGAATTGACAGGTTTGACGTCACAAGAATTTTGGTCGACTCGGACAGCTCATCCGAGGTGATGTACGATGACCTCTTTCGCAAGATGGGGTTCACCCTGAAAGATTTGAAACTGTTAAGGACCCCCCTCATAGGTTTCAACGGCTCCAACACCTTTCCCCCTTGGGAAAATCACTCTCACAGTTCATGTCGGGATAGTCACTGTCCTAGTGGAGTTCGTGGTGATAGACTCTAACACGTCATACAAT